GGAAGAATAGAGCAAGGCCACAAGAATGGAAGGTGGGGGGAAGCCCTAGGAACTATTTACATGTCCAGTGACAGAGTGCTAATAAAATGGTCATACCACCTTCCAATGCAATACCTTGCAGCAGTAAAAAGGAAGCATAAGTTAGATACTCTCCAAGATGTGAGATTTACAGCATGCTGCCACTTGGATTAAAAAGCTTGGGAGACACCCACACAAATAAATTCCTGTGTATGTACAGAATAGTTCTGAAAGGAAACAACCCCATATTAGCACTGGCTATTGTGGGGTAGGGTAACAGAAGGTGGGATGGGACAGGTGCTTCTTTTCCAATGAACACCCTTTAGAGGTGCCTGAGACAGGAGGTGCTCATAAAAATCTGTTGTGTGATGAAAGGAAAATAAGTTTACTTAATTGAATCAGTTTCTAAATGCATATCTTTTGGGATGTTCATGATATGCACACATGACTATGTCTAGATATACACACAGAGAATGGCTCATGTCTTTTATTTTCTTTGACTACTTAATGACGAGCATGGCTAATGACCAGGGAAGTAATCTAGTAATCTCACAGGCAGTGTGTAACTGCCTCCTGAAGTCAAGCACTGAGAAGTATCAGAGCTCATTACCTCCCAAGGACAATTGGAGTCCTGAGAATTGTTCCTCCAAATATTTGGCTCTTTAGGGCGAGAGAAGGCAATTTGCAATAAAGGTCAGTTATGCTAGAATAACTACAGTTTTTTAAAATGTAGTTTGAACAATAGGGGGCCTCACAGAAGATGAAAATGCCATTAAGTTTTTTAAAAGTCTAAAATACTAAGAAAGTATGACTATAGGAAATCTTTCTTGGCAGCATAGCTACAACAGTGGTTTATTCCACCACACATTCACCAAGCCATTCACAGATGGTGTGAGCTAAAACCTCTCACCTGCACCTACTAAATTACAGATCTTACAGAACTGTGCACTAAATAATGAGAAGTAGAAATTTCCACTGACATTCATAATTTCTGAAAATCCTGCAAAATTACCCATAACAGAGTTAAAGAGACTCACAGGACTCTCAGGTACTAAATGTGGACTTTTATTAACTGAACATAAAAAGCCCACTCAGTAAAATTAACTTTGCATAGTTATTCAACAAGAATATTTAATATTAGGATTTTAAATATGGGCTGTTTTATTTGTTAAGCATATTAGAGCAACTCTTGAAAAGTTATATGTACAGTTGGTGAGAAATTGATCCAACTGTGGATGAAAAGGAAACTGGGGGGTACTGTATCCTTATGATCTAGAACAGTGATGGCGAACCTTTTAGAGACCCAGTGCCCAAATTAAACCCCAAATCCACTTATTTATCACAAAGTGCCAACACTGCAATTAAACCTAAATTCTGAGGTTTTAGTTAGAAAAAAACAACTCATACATTAACATCTCCGTCTTAAGAGAAAAGCACAGTACGAGTTTTCAATGACACAAACAGCCTGCTGCGGCGCGCCTGCCACGCTTCACCACCACGGGTCTAGAACATATGTAGGCCTCTAGCTGACCCTTTACTCAGACTCTTCGATAACGTATTACTGTCCTGCCACGTTTCAAAGTAAGAAAAGTGAGGCTTGAGGAAGTAAGGTTTAACAAGTGAAGTCCATAACCAGATGGGTCCCACTGCAATCTGAAGCAACGAACTTCCTCTCCTTCATTCTTTTCTTAAAGGGGGCAAATTACATACAAAGTCTTCTTAATCTCAAATATGCCACTTCTGAATTTTAAGGAGAAATAAATCAAAATAGAAATGTCTTTATATTTAAAAATGTCTAATGTCATTAAATGGAATTTTCTTTCAGAAAGCCCACTTATTGTAGGGCTAATGGAAAATTAAGACACTTCAAAGAAAAGCCAATTTCCAGGGAATCTGAAAAATCCAAGAGGGCTGCTTGGACATTTAGTTTAGCACTGGATCTGATGGACTTTGCAGAATGCAGCCGGGGGGCTCTAGAGCACTAGCCCACCCCGTCTACCTAGCTTTATTAAACTCTTCCACAACTGCATAATAGAGGTGCGTGTGGGGGCAATTCCCTAGACTGCTAAAAATCACTCACTTTCTGATTTTGCCTGGCAGAATCAAGGCCTGCTCTGTAGCCTGAAACAAAAATTTCCCACTCATCTCGCCCCCTCGGTTTGGGCAAAGTTCTACTGCATCTGCTGAGGCCCATAGGCCTACTGCTGAGCCTGTGAGGAAGGAAAGGGACAGAGTAGGGAGCGGCCCTGGATCTAGGCTCAGAAAGAAAGTGCTGCCAAAGCAACCAGTACAGAGCCAAAAATTTTAGGTACTGTTTAGGTTTTGATTTTATTAAACTGAAAAACCTTATTTTCACTTTCATTTGCTGCCATCTCTGTTCTCCTTCCCACTTAGTTTTCAAATAATAAATTACAGTAGGGGCTCAAATTATTTTCCAAGACAGTCTCTGGTTAAAATAAATATGGTAAAACTCTGGAGAGATCTGGAATAAAAGAAACGTCTCATAACATAAGGGGCTCAACTTCATTTTGTAGAAAAAACTATCACGGCACTTAGCCATTGCCTCCCTATCCCCCTCGCTGGCCAGGAGCTACAGGAACAAGCGGAGCCAGTAAGACTTTACTGCGTGTTGACCGAGCAGCATGCACTGTAAAAAAGGACTTAGGCACAAGTCCTTTTGTCCAATAATTTAAGATGCCAAACATCATTTCCGGTCTTCATATCTGTAGCATTCAGCGTTCTGTAGCATTCAGAGTCATTGTTTCTCAGACCAACATTTCAGGAAATTTGAGCCAATACAAAGGAAATAAGCACATTTCCAACTGGAAATCTTGTATCCTGAGTCTAATTTTGTTCATTCTTCTGGCACACCCGACCAGCTCTGCCGAATTATTCTCCCTAGCAACTCTCTCCCTCCCCTTAGTAACACCATCAGGCTCCTTACACAGAGCATAGGCCTGTAGGAGCTGTCTGTCACACAGCAATTCAATCATCTCCCTTAAAGAAAAGGGCTTCTTATTATCTGAGCAGCTAAGTTTCTTTACCTACAGTTTCTTAAACATCCCAGTGAAGAGTTATGTTTTGTGTCAGGTACTGTACTTTGCATGTATCATCTCATTTGATCCTCACAATGACCTGAGTGGGGAATTACTGTTACATCCACTTTACAGATAAAGATTCCCAAGCTGGTCAGCCACAGTAGGGGACGCAGACAGAATGGGCTCTTTCTCCACCTCATGCCGACTAAGCTACCATGTGCAGTTGTGGCCAGCAGCACAGCCTCCCACAGAGCTTGCTTGGGGTCTGATGAACTCAGATGGAACTGACTTCAATGCCTGGCTGTCAGGTACTTCTGGCTTTGCCAAGTCAGTCTCTGTGCCTTTGTGTCTTCTACGAGATAGGGGTAATACACTGTAGTGTATTATAGGGATAGTACACTATAGGTCAGGTCAGGATTAAGAGAGAACAATACCCATGAGGATGGCAGGGTAGTCCCCACCATGTCAGATGCTCAGTGACATTAGTTTTCCATTTTCTCTTAAGCATACAGTTCTTACATTTATTTTCAGTATGAATGAGAGGCAGAGAACTTGAATGCTCATCATATAGAAACAGTTCCAAATCTTTAGACCAATGTTTCTCTTTTAAGAGGTAAATGAATAAAAGGGAGAAGTGGCTCATCTTTGTTAATAATCACGCCAGTAAAACTATTTTTTTCCTCTTTCTGATGACAACCACTTTGGCAGCTCAACCAACCCTAACATCTGATCCGTACCCCCAAGATCTCTTACTCCCTGTCCTCTTCCACCCCCTAAGAAGTCAGCCGACTAGGTGTTAATTGGATTAACAATTCAGTGTGAATGAGTTAACATGTGTGCATCCTAAAGAGCTATTTTGTGGAGACTCTCAGTTTTTGTTTACACTGAGTAGTGAGGCCAATTGTTGCTCTTCAACCTAGCAGAGAAGAAAGCTACTACAGTACTCCAGTAGAGTTCAGAGAGAGGGGTTGGTCAGAGCTCAGTGGCTTCGTGAAGGGCAGACTTGGAATGGGGCTGGGGACACCAGCCACATCTCTGGAGGACAGTGGTAGCCGTGGCATCTGATTTCTCAATTTAGGAGGGGAAATATGTGGTATCTCAGTGGGAAGGGGACAGGACAACCATTTACAGATTTACTATTTTGCTGATTATACATTAAGAAATAAATTTAACATCACTAGTAGAAATGTTGGACACCAAAAGAGGAACCAGTGTAGTCAATAATGTTGAATAAACCAGATATGTAAATACATCATGACATAAGAAAAAACCAATATTCTTTATGAAGAATTTAAATGCCAATTACCTTTAACACTAATGGCAAGAAGATAAAAAATTAAACAATGTAATTAAATTCAAGTAACTATTCTTTTGCGGCCACATAATTAATGAAAAGCAATTTTAAAGTTTAATCATTTAAAATACATTTCAACGCTCACTTCAGCAGCACATATATTAAAATACATTTCAAAAGTTCTCTATTTCAACTAGATTTTTAATCTTAATTAAGCCCTATTTATTAGTTCTTGTTTCTGAAAGGATTTGTTCTTGATTTCAAGCTCTTCTGATGAAAAACAGTTGAAAACCATATGAAACTTTTTTTTTTTTGCTTTTACCACAATTAGGATAACACTATCTTTCTGAAAAATAATTTGTAGCACACACAAAATTGTATTCATTATTATGTAACAGTCAAGTAGGCCTCTTTATCCATCCAAGTGACTGAAGAGCATAAAAAATTAAGAAGCTAGTGGTCTCCCAAGGACAATAAGCAAGACAAATGGAAGTTCTGAAATGCTTTATGTCCATTCTCTCATTATTCTTATTGTTGTTACATTACCAGAACTGTTAGCATTCAGCTGAGTCACAGTGGGAACCTAGACCTTGAGAAATGAACTTCAACATGGTAAAAGCAGCAGGTCATTATTTGATATCCTGTAATACCTGTGCGCACTGTCTTTCCAGGAGAGGCCGGCGTTTGCTGAGCTCGCTGTTTCTCAACAGGACTGGTGGGCTTGGAGACATCACCTGCAAAAGAGCTTCCATGAGCAGCATTAATGTCTCATGGCAAGAAACCTCCCACCAGGGAGGTTTCAAATCTAATGTCTTGATAACATCTCCACCGCAGTGGCAATAGTTAAATATCTGGGCTAACAAGATAACTGTTAGTGCAGGAAATCTTTTTGTTAGTGAGATAAACAGAAAGATAAGGTTTCAACATCCAAATGTGCAGTCAGCTGGAACACATGCAGAAGGACACATGCAGAAGATTGGGAGTTTTTTGCTTTTGATCAAAACATCACGATTGTGAAACTGAAGTGGTTAAGATTGCGACTTTGCAACAGTAGTATTTTTAAAAGCAAGGGACTAGAGCCACAAAAATATTTTTATATTGTAATTTCAAAAGTAGGTTCTTTATAGAAAAGAGACATTTCTGAAGCGTCTGTATTCTTTATGAAGAATTTAAAAGCCAATTACAGCTCTTATCCTTAGGGGTGGTGTGAATGAGTTAGAGGTATAATTCAGAGGTCAAGAGCTTGCCCAGCATATGCCAGACTAGGGTTCAATCTCTAAAAGTGCAAAAAGAAAAGAATTCCACTGCTTTGTAGTATAGTTCCACTGATGCTCTATCTTCACTCTGATTTTTTTTTCTTTTTCTTTTTATTGAGGTTATTGGTACAATCTAGGTGTACAATACAATTACATTCATCATTGGGATTCTGTACCTTTACATAATAGGTCTTGATTCTCATTTTTCCCCTTGTCCCTGCCCTCCCTTCACCCCCTCCTCCCCTCCCCATTTACGAACACTTTATTTCCATTTTTTCAGTTTCTCATATTTTTTTCCTCTCCCTTATTACCTCTCCCCCACCCTTCCCACTTTCCTTACACCTTTAGCCCTTTACTTCCTATTTCACATTATTAATTATCTCATTAGGATCCTGTGTACTATTATAGTTTTTCACACCAAAGAAACTATTCGGTATTTCAGTTAAAGAAATCTCTGTATGAACATTAAAAATAGGGAATCCTAAAATAAAACTAAAAAGGAAAGTAAAAGAGAAAAGGCAATGATGTAACATCAAAATAATCCTTAATTCTGGAGATGAAAATGGTCCCTGAACATATTTAAATTGCTTCTCACTCTTATAGTCTTATCTTATTCTTTTTTCATTATTTAGAGAATACTTTATTAGTTTCTGTAATCAAACTCACGTAGATATGACCTTACATATTTAGTACGATGTGTTACCCCTGTACACAGGGAAAAAAAAACCATAAAAAATAAAAATAAATTAACATTTATAGACCAATATGGTTGTCCATTTCTGTACAATGCCAAGT